TTGAATAAGGTGGGACTTAATACTCCCCCTTGTGGGGTACCTAACTGAAACCTCCGTTCCTCAGACATGTATCCCTGGTAATACACCTGACCTTTTCTGCCTTGCAGGTAATCCCTTATCCAGTGTAGCAATCTCCCTGTTATTCCCAGATTGGCTAATTCGTATAAGATTACTTCCCCATTGGCTTTATCAAACGCTCCTTGTAGATCAACAAAAACTCTACAATTGTCATCCACATTAGACAAACACTTTAAAAGACAATCCGCAGTACTTTTGCCTTTGATAAAACCAAAGAGATTATTGGACATGTTATCACCTACAAGGTAGAGTAGCCTATTTAACAAAATCCTTTCCATCATTTTACAAAAGCAGGATATTAAGGAGACAGGTCTGTAGCCTCCGTTTGACTTAGGGATAGGAATGATGACAGCCTCTTTCCATTTTCTTGGTAACTTTCCCTCTCTATAACTCATATTAAACAAATCAAGTAAGGGATTAGGTTTCATACCGGCTAAATAATTAAGTATGTCATACGTTACTCCATCTTTTCCCGGAGCAGTGGAGCTGCCACTTTTTATAGCATCCAGTAGCTCATCGTGGGTTATCTCAGTGCATGCTATAGATCTTGTATTTAAGGCACATAAAGTTACTCCATTTCTAATATTTTCCCATGACTCAATGGTGACTCTCGTGTCTGCAGGTAAGGACTCCATACCAGCAGCACTTGCCCATTTATCTACTAACTCATTAGCAACTTTCCCTGGATCTGAGTGAGCAATGAATTTGGTCTTACAACCCCTGACTTTATTTACTGCTCTCCATATGTCTTTAAGGTTCTTAGTATTACCAATGGCCTGAGCAAAGTCTTGCCAGTATCTGTCCCGCGCCTCCTTCCTCACCTGACTGCATTCCCTAGCCACTTCCAACATTGTATTTTTCTCTTCATCCCTCATTCCATTTTTTAACCATGCTTTATGCGCACCCCGTAGCATTCTCTCCCATCCCTTGACTTGCTGATCATTGGAATATTTAAATTTCTTAGGTCCGTGCGTCTTGCTTCCCCTGCCCCCGTTATTTTCCCTCTGTACTAATTTCTCTATGTTCTCGACCATGTCCTCGTAAAAACTATCAACGCAGAGCGGCGTGTAATGTTGATACCAATCTCCCATATTTTGAATAAAATAATTTTTCATATCTTTCTTAATATTTAGCCTTTTCCTTTGAAAGTGGACTTGTTTTTTCCCCAGTGGTAATTACCCAGTGGTAATTCAAAGTTGTGATTGTTCTTGGTCCTTTTTTGTGACCAAGAACTTTATATATTTTATATATTTTTTCGGCTTTGCTGAGAAAAGAAAATGGGGAATAAAGCCCACTGTATGTGCCATATGCAGACGATGAGTCACAATAACGTGGCTAAAGTATGTTGACCAGACCTTGAATCGACTTGAGAATGGTCCAGGATGAACCGAAACGTCGTCGTCCCTTCACCTTCTAGTGTGTGGTCTGGTCAACTGTATGTACCATTTACTAAATATTAAATTTAAGTGGCAATGATTTATAGTACTTCATATTTTTACCGTTGGGGATTTATAGGTCAAGTTGCGAGGTACTGTGAGAGAGGACAGGTTGCATTGGCAATTCAAATTGCGCGATGCAACATTGCAGTGAACGGTGCAAAATTAAAACACATTGAAAATTACTTTTTTTCAACTCAAGCGGCTGTATCGCACTGTATTGGGGCGGCCATAATCGTTACCAACACTTGAAGTTAGACATTAATTACTTAAACAAAAGACAGAATACTTCTGTCACCTAGGCACCTAGCTTGCCACTTAGCTTGTCACTTAGCCTAGCTATCGAAGAATGAGGCTGACTGTCCGGCCCGTTCTTTTGATATGCCACAACGTACAGAATATAACCTGCTAACATAAACAGAAACATAAAACCCAAACCAACCCTCCCACCTCTCCCCTTAACCTACGATGCGTACAAAACGGGGGATATGTTGTGATCCGTTACTTTTCATAGCACTTTGTATTACGTACGTTGGGCACGTATTAGTTGACGGTACGGGATATGCAGTTCCAAGTTAAGGCTGTATACTCTGCACAGTAATGATGTAGCGGTTTCTGAACGAGTGTTTGTGTTTGGAAGTGTCATTCACCGGCTCTGGTGTTCGTATCTGCAGATTCCTTGGTGTGAGGCCGCTAGTTTGGCTACCTGTTTCTCATTGCCGGGGCAGTCTGTCTTAATAAAAGCACTCATCAACAAATGCAAAATGCTCGTTAGTCTAACCGCCAAGCTCCCACTATAAATAAAAAACACTTAACCCTCGAGTCGCCAATCTGTCCTCTGGCAAGGCTCGTTTATCCAGGGTTCGATCCCAAAGACACATTCGTCCGTTTTACCCTCTTGTGAATTCAAAATTAGGACTTTTCTCAAATATAAATATTAATATTTATTAATATATTGTCTATACTTAGGCGTAAGTGATTTTCTCTTTAGGTTCTGTAGGCAATAACTTGTATTTGTAGAACGTGCGTGAAGCATTAACAAAAGATTTGTTTCGAACATAGGAAGAGACTGAAGCAATGTTCAGGCACAGTTGGAGCTTTATCAAGTGTTAGTCGCCTGTAAAGTGATGTTCGTTAATAAAGAGAGTCTAGTGGCTGGATTAACGAGACTGGTCATATCAGCATGGACTGGTGACTCAGCTGAACCAGTTCGAACTTTTTTCGAGCAGTAATTCACATTCACATATACACGTTCTCTGTTCGAATCGCACCTCTGTAAAGGCTTCACTCACCTACAGCAAATATCAGTAGCTGCGAGCTACAAAGCCTAACATAACCCAACCTAGGCATACCTATATACCAAATATCAATATATAATCATTGTAATTTAGAAAGTACTGATTTTGAAGACACAGTACATTAACATTTGTGATCGTATATTTAGCTATCAGAACCCCTCTAAGACGAGCCTGCATGAGGAACTTTGTGTCTTGTGACAGGAACCATGTTAAGCTTATCGGGGTCCCCACGAGACCAACTACTGACCTTCGTCAAGATGCCACCCACAACAGCTAACTAGCTCCTTTTCCCCTCTAAGTTGCTATTTACTGCTCGGTAAAGAGGGATTTCAGATGAAAGGAAACGTGCCAAAGCGTCTCTGTTCTGATGCGGGAGTTGGTCCTGAGATCCCTTAATTGGTTGTGAGTCGACTGGACTGATTAATATTCTTCAGACACAGCATTGTCAAGGGACACAGACAGAAAGAAACAAGGAAGAACAAACAAGGAACACTAGCATAGACACATCAGTTCCCGACCGGCCGAATACAGGGAGCCGATCATACTATCAACACACAAATCATATACTGAAAAGTTTACCTTCTCGATTTATATGCATACAGTCTGAGTATACATTAATCCTGAATTATAATCAGGAATAAAGTATATGCTTGCTGTTTGTTCCAGAAAGCTATTTTGGCTTCCTTAATAACACCTCCTCAGGTTCATTGAACACTAATTCCAAACACACAGTCTCTCTAAACATCGCTACAGACGAACTTATCACAGCTGACCTCTCAAACAGTGAAGAAACCAACAGAAAAAAATGATAAAACACATATTAAACAAATCACTGTATTTGTTTTACTTGTACATATATATTTTTCCTGGTTTCCTGTTTATGAACGAACACTCGGAGGCATAAAACTTTGCATGTAGTGAGTTCTCTATATGCAGAGTTATTAATAGAAATTAGCTATATATAGTTGAAGAGATTTAACAAAAAGTCTGACATCAATATTGAAAAACAGCAAGTTTCCTAGACGGTACCTAAAGGGCATGTTTCAGTTGGTTAAGATTCATTGGCGATGACGCTTCGCCTGTTGAAGCTTTATTTCTAATGAAGCATAGGTTATTAGAGCTTATTTGTCAATGATGCTTTACCTGTTAGAGCTGACACCGTCTCTCTTGTTAATGCAATATTGGCGAAGTCTTCTTGTATTAGAGTTCGACTGGTGATAATGTCTCGTCTATTAGAGTCATATTACAATGATGTCTCTTTTTGTTTGAGCTTTATTTGTGATCACTTCTTACCTGTTAGAGCTTTATTTCAAAGACGTCTTGCCAATCAGAGCTTTAGAGGCGATGACGTCTGGCCTGCTAGAGCTTTGCTTTAGATAAAGTTTCACCTGCTAGATTTCATAAAGCCAATATGCTTCTATAAAGTTTGCTCTCAGTTCGATAATATTTAAGTATCAACAAAATAAAATACAAATATTCTGAAATATAATTTCAAGTTTAGTCATATTTTCAATTGAATGGAAAATCCTATCACCCAATGCTGTGTGCACCTCAAGCCACGCCACTGAAACTACATTGAAACTACATTGAAACTACGTTGAAACTTCATTGAAACTACGTTGAAACTACATTAAAACTATTTTGAAACTACATTGAAACTATTTTGAAACTACATTGAAACTACGTTGAAACTACGTTGAAACTACATTAAAACTATGTTGAAACTACATAAAATCTATGTTCGATCCTGTGACCTGAATAAACACTGGTTTGCTAATAGAAAACTAGGTATGTGAAACATATTACCGGGTTACGTAATAGACGCGGGGAACACTGGATTGTTTCAAGCGTAGTTTACACATATATAAAGACAAGACGCACAACAGCTGTCTCCAGCTGCACAAGAGGTGATGTCACAAGCAATACGGTACTCAAAAACAATATCGCATGAACAACTGAAGTGGGTATACGGGAATTTATCAGGAGAAAGCATTAAGCCTTTACGACTATGTAACAATTGAAAGGAATACAAGGATAAGGATAATACGGAGAAAAGGAATGGTGTCCAACCTCTTGGACGGTCGGGGATTGAACGCAGACCTGCAAGAAGCGAGACCGTCTCTCTACCGTACAGGCCAAGTGGTTGGGCTGTGTGTGTGTGTGTGTGTCTAAATCAAACACATTTAAGTTGTCTAAATTCACTTCATTTATCCCTTATCGTCGCCCTTATTTTAACAGTTAAAACATCTGCATCTTTAGCATTAACATTGCAACAAAATTTAATTTAATATTAGCAATTTTTAACATTTAACATTGCCATTTATTTGTTTAAAAGAATTAACGTTAACTTTTTTTTTACAATCAACATTAATATTTAATTTTTATAATATTTTATATTAAAATTGTACATTTTTAAGCTTTTATCATTTAAATTTTTATTTAAATAACAGTAACATTTAACAAAAATTATTACATTTTAACAACCACATATTACGACAAGAATTAAACAAATACATTAATCCTGATGTGATGGAATTCATTTTTACTCATCTAACAATCATTGATGCAAGATGATTACATAAACATACTGTATAATTTTTTTAATTTCAAGTTCCAGTAAATAAGAAAAATGATATCAAAGGGATGTAATGTCTAAAATCAAAACCACTACATTAAAACTATCCAAATGGTTCCCACTGATTTCCTCCTAAAAACTATGATTATGAAAGTCTATTGGAAGACTCGAATGAATATACATTTTAAGAGAGAAATCATAATTTTGTTGACATTTGAAAAAAAAAGGAAAGGGAGTTTTGTTTCCAACGGTTGAGATAGCCAAATTAACGCTGTCGGGTTGAGTACTGTCCAAATCAACGCCGTTGGGTCGGGTACTGTCCAAATCAACGCCGTTGGGTCGGGTACTGTCCAAATCAACGCCGTTGGGTCGGGTACTGTCCAAATCAACGCCGTTGGGTCGGGTACTGTCCAAACCAACGCCGTTGGGTCGGGTACTGTCCAAATCAACGCCGTTGGGTCGGGTACTGTCCAAATCAACGCCGTTGGGTCGGGTACTGTCCAAATCAACGCCGTTGGGTCGGGTACTGTCCAAATCAACGCCGTTGGGTCGGGTACTGTCCAAATCAACGCCGTTGGGTCGGGTACTGTCCAAATCAACGCCGTTGGGTCGGGTACTGTCCAAATCAACGCCGTTGGGTCGGGTACTGACCAAATCAACGCCGACGGAAGAGATTGAACGGGATGCTCCTGTAGATCACGTCTTCCAGTTCTCGCTGTTGCTGAGAGAGCTGTCGAGATTGATCACAAACTCTAAGAAAACGTTTAAGGGTAAACACTGACGTTTATCCTGAGTAAACTATTAAAGATAAACACTAGCATTTACTCTAAACTTTCAAAGGTAAATATTGAGTTGAAGCCAAGACAGGTTTGGAAAGAGTATTTAGGGTAAACTCACATGATATAGAACAATAATTTGACTGAAAGTTAACAAAACACTGATTTGGATTTTGTATATTTGATGATGAATATAATTAAAATTACTGCAAAATAATGAAGTTTTTATAAAAGGTAATTTGGTATTATTTGATTAATTTATGTAATTGATTGAAATAAACTATAATTATAAATTTAAAATCCTACAACCCTCAAGAGTATAATGCTAAAAAAAAAAGTTTTATTACATAAACCTGGATGAATAATATAGAATAACGCCATGTCTTATATGTCTAAATATATGTACAATTTGAAAATCATTTTGAGGCAAAGGCGTGATTCAAACTAGCGTTCTGGTGATTCCTGGACACCTGGGAATCAACTCCTAACCGACTCGGCCACAATATAGTATGAAAGGCGACCAACCCCGGTACCCCGGGTTAGTGAGCGGGTGTCTGGGATTCCCCAGAACGCAGGTTCGAAGCCCCACCATTGCCTCAAAATGATTTCCATTGATTTATCACGCCATTGTGATTTTTTGTGAAATGTACAGTATGTATAACATGAATAAGACCTGAGGTGAGGTATATAATATATATTAAATATAATATATATTATATTTATATATATATTTATGTTTATAAGAGCTATAGAATCCCACAGATAATGCCAATCAGCAGGCCTAATGGTCTTTTTAAACTTTACTGTATCCTGGCCCCTCACAACGCGAGTTCGAATCCCGCCCTAGAATCAAACATTTATCTGGCAGTTTATGATACGTCGAGATGCCTAAATCAGATTCAATTCTACCTGACGAAGGCGCAGAAGGTTCTTTTTGACTGACCTGTTCGTTCAGGCCACGGAGGGATGCACTCACCCTGGTGTTGACGGCGGCAGCCGCCTGACGACACACTCTTAGCTCGGCAACAGCGTCTCTGACGGAGGCGCTGTCGGCGTTAGCCTCGATCTGCCCGGTTGGGGATTCGCGGAAGCGAATCTGGAATGTTTATTGAGTGTGTTAAGAGTGCAGCAAGTGTGACGAGAGAGAGAGAGAGAGAGAGAGAGAGAGAGAGAGAGAGAGAGAGAGAGAGAGAGAGAGAGAGAGAGAGAGAGAGAGAGAGAGAGAGAGAGAGAGAGAGAGAGAGAGAGAGATATGAGGAGATAACTAAGGCAGAGAAAGGGAGAAAGGAAGGAAGACCAGACGAAAAAGAGAAAAGCAGAAACAGGAGAACAAAGGAATGGCTAAGAAGAGAATTGGGAATAAGTATTTGGTGAGAGAAAATGTGAAACTTAAATACGAACGTGGCATAAAAGGTGGGTGAAAAAGGGTGAATGAGAGGTGGAAAACGATAGGTGAGCGACTACCCCGAAGAATATCCTGGTAGATAAGCAGACAGTGGAGAAGGGAGGAACAGAAGGGCCAACACAACCGCAGGACAAGAGAGGGATTTATCAGGGGAAAACACCGAACCATTACGACTATATAGCACTGGGAAGGGGGTCAGGATAAGAGTTTGGGATGGGACGTGAGGAAGGAATGGTGCCCAACCACTTGGACAGGTCAGTGATGGAACGCCGATCTGCATGAAGCTAGGCCGTCGCTCTACCGTCCAGCACAAGTGGTTGGCCAACTGCAGAAGGCAGCAAGTCACACACACATACGAAAATACTTAAAAAAACAAGAGAAGAGTTACTCCCGGAGAGGAGAGACTGGAGAACACAGTCTTGCCTCACCTTGATAGGCTCTCCGCGGCCGTTGATGTAGGCACACTCCCCGCTGACGATCCCGTTGTCGTCCACGACCGAGCTGATTGCGACGCCCGACGTCTGCGGAGCCCCGGCGGGAAGCAGAGCCATCATCACCGTCACCACCACTAGCATCGTTACTCCTCCAGGCGCCATCTGTCGCCAGGAAGAAGACACACCACCATAAGTTGCAGATTGTAGACTCTTTTTCGGACACATGGGATTAATCACTATAGTTCATTCTATTCTTGAATACTTCATTGAATTCTATAGTACTTCATTTCATTGTATACAGTGGGACTTCTCTTCATTATTCCATTTATGATAATTTTACATTAGTAAGGATTATAGGCTATAGTAGTCATTTCTCAGATCCTCCTCCTGTGCCAAGTTTACTTTGCAGAGCATCACATTCTTTCTCAAGCGGTTGTGACTAGGTTTGAGTCCGGGATAAGAAAGGTTGACTAGGTACCAGTTATCGTACGCCTCTATTTACCCAGCAGTAACTGGCGACCTGGTGTAAACAGATTGACGAGTCGTATTCCAAGGGAAAACTAATAGGATAAGGCCTAACATGAGCTGTGGGACGACAAAAGTAGCTATATTTGCCTCCTAACAGGAGTTAGAAGCTGTATATCTACACTAATACCCACTGTGGGACGGCAAAAATAGCTATATTTGCCTCCTAACAGGAGTTAGAAGCTGTATATCTACACTAATACCCACTGTGGGACGACAAAAGTAGCTATATTTGCCTCCTAACAGGAGTTAGAAGCTGTATATCTACACTAATACCCACTGTGGGACGGCAAAAGTAGCTATATTTGCCTCCTAACAGGAGTTAGAAGCTGTATATCTACACTAATACCCACTGTGGGACGACAAAAGTAGCTATATTTGCCTCCTAACAGGAGTTAGAAGCTGTATATCTACACTAATACCCACCTATATCAGCAGAGTAACACAACAAATGCCAGGACAGAGTCCGCTGACCATCCACCACAGGGAGATTAACACACAGGGACGCGGCAAAACCAAGAATGGATGCAACATTTACCAAAGCACTATAACAACAGGAATGGGACACATGCTTACCTTTCTAGTTTGAGGGTGCAGGCGAGACTGGCTCTCCTTCGAGGATGCGAGCTCGGGTTAAACCCAGGATGGGCCGACCTGCCAAACGCCGCCACATCTTTGTCAGTAGGTTCTGCTTTTCGTAATTCATGCCACCGGAATACAAAGAATTTTCCGTAAGAAACTCGCCTTATGGGTACCCACCAATGGGGATATTATTAGTGGAATGATGCAGCATTACGAGGCAGGAGGTGAACCACTTTTCTTTCTGCACCCGGTGAACTATTTCAAGGCTACAGTGGTACAATACACACACACATATATACATATATTTGTATACCTGTGTGCTCCGGTTCTCGGTGTATGTACAGTGTGAGTTTACTCTAGTCCTTGACTACGTTCAAGACTAAAGTATACTTGCTGGTTAGTCAGTAAACTATTGTCGTGGAGTTTGTAATCCTCCACAAGATGAGGAGGATTGGCCTTAAGCCCAACATCAAACCAACTGGTATAGTTCGTGTTTATCTGTAGTTTGTATCTATCTGATCACACTTGTATTGATATACGCCATATGTAAAGTCTCCAGCAATATACCCAACCAGTCCTCCATAATAGAACGTCGCATTTTGACGTACACTCTACCTAAGGCCAAAGATCGTCGTACTAGAAAATGGCAGCAGCTCTCGCAAATTGACATACTGGTTCCGTTTTCTGTTTTGGGTCCTCTGGTAAGCTAGGATAAAAGCACTTTAGTACGACAATTTCTTGACGTTTGGAAACCTTAGGAGGACGAGCTGTATACCGGTCCTCTGCCGGATGAGGCATCACCGAGTAAAGAAGTCCGTAATATACGTTTTGGCTGATGAATACAGATGAAGATCAATGGTGATTCGAATAGATATGATATAATAGATGAGATTCCCGGCGGTGCCCGGGACTTGCTCACCTCTTCTCTTTCTTCATTTTCCCCTTTGTCTTCTCTCCCAGTGTCCCCACTCTCCCTCCTCTCTCACTTATACCTTCCTTTCCTCTCCATTTTCTTCTCTATCCTTTACCCAACTTTTCCACTAACATCCCCTTTCTCACCACAGTCCTTCTCCTTTTCCCTTTGACCCCCTACCTGTAATACCATTTCAGAACGAAATGTCCATGTAGCACGGGCTATGGTGAGCCCATTGAAGAAAATACGTTGTTTTTGTTATAGGTTCAGCTACTCGGAACAGAAGTTCCAAGTAGCATGGGATATGGTGAGCCCCTAGTGGACTTTCCTGGCACAGGAGCGGGACTGTGTCTAAGAAAATACGTTGTTGTTGTTGTTGTTTTAGATTTAGCTATTCAGAACGAAATGTCCATGTAGCACGGGCTATAGTGAGCCCGTAATTGAGTTCGGTTATTCGCTATAACCTTGTTACTCTGATATTTGGGTCAAAGTTTTAAATGGAGGTGGGGTTTCCTCCTTTTTCTCTGTTTCTTTTTCGCTTCTGTTTTAGTCGTGTTTTAATAACATTATCTTGGTGGCGGATGTAGGTGCAGAATGTTCACTAGTGAGTCCCATTCTTTAACGGCTTTTCTAATCATTGTAGTCGCTGTAGAATGTGCATCTAATGCAGCTGCTGTCGTTGGATTAATGTTGAGTTTGATGCGCAGGGCTTCAGTAGCTTCACATTCCAGTAAGTAGTGCAATAGTGGCGCCTCTGCTTCTGTTCCACAGATATGACACTCTTTAACTATTGGGTTTATTACCTCCCAGCAGCACTTGTAGCCAAGTCTGAGTCAGTGTATGGCTACTGCAATGTCTCTGGATATCTTTTTGTCAGGCTTGAAAGAGTAGTACCCAGTGGCTTGTTCGTACCATAACGCAGTGGAACTTCCTTCCGCTACTTTGGTTCTGTGGCGACTTTTGATAGTTGGGATTATTTGCTTCTTGACTTGCTCCTTAATCTGTGAAAAACTTGGAGGCATTTGGACCTGTATAACAGGTAGAGCAGCAGCAGTTTTTGCTAGAGAGTCTGCCTTTTCATTACCATCTATGCCAATGTGACTTGGTATCCAATTTAGGGTGATTGACAGCACTAGATTATGGGCTTCTTTTCCTATATGTTGGATTTCTGTGATGAGTTGTATATTATATCTGTGTTGACTGGATAACAATGCCTGGAGCGAAGATTTAGAGTCGGTATGAATGATGACATCATGCAAATTATTCTCAATTGTATAGTTTATGGCCTGTTTCAGGGCATATAATTCTGTTTGCAATGTTGAGCACCCCTATTCATGCTCCGGTAAGCTTCATGGTTGTTAGTGTAAACTGCTGCTCCAGCAGAACCTCTTTCTTGATCAACTGATCCACCTGTGAAGATATGAGTCGATGTCGGTCTTGAGATGGTCTCCATTTGTCGTTCTATGACTGCTTTGAGCTTCTGCGAGTCACATGCTGATTTTTTAGCTGGTAATCCTTCAGTGATAATCTTTAGACTCGATTCATCCCATGGAGGAGGCTGCCGAAAGTGTTGATATGGTCTATCTTCACTTTTGTTTTTAATGGTCCATTTCAAGTTCACTTTCTCTAGAATCTTTACTAGATTATCCGTCCATAAGAAAATACAAAGAGCGTTAGATTTATACCAGTACGGGGTCAGATGAAGACAAGTAGATCTATACAAGTGGGACAAGAATAAAGGAAAAGATAAGGCGATAACAGGGGACGAGGCACACGCAGAGATTAATCAGGTGTAGTAGGCCTATTATGTTGAGCAGTGTCTTCTATGTTGGCATCTTTATGTTCTGGTCGTGTCCTTACTCTCATGGTGGGTAGAGTGAATAGTTCCGTAATTTGGGTATTTATGGTAGGCTGTTCTATTTTTATATGGATTACTTCAAGAATATGTAATCATCTTACATCTTGGGTTTTGTCTATTATACAAGTGTTTTTATTCAGTATTTCTCTTGACATATATACATATGAATATATGGGTGATGTCATGGGCTTGTTTCATGACATCACCCTAAGAAGGGTGATATATATATATATATATATATATATATATATATATATATATATATATATATATATATATATATATATATATCGTCTTTTATGCAGATAAACAAGCAGAGATTCTCAAAGGAAGCGGATACACGCCACCTGGCTCCCAATCTGATGCTGGAGACGTCGTAGCTGCCTCACCTGGCGATGTGACGCGTGTCCGTCGCCCAGCGACGTACCGTACGGCCCTGGCAGTTACTGCATCGTCGATTGCGTCACTCGCTGTACAGCAACTGGTCCGAGGAAGTTATTACAACGTCGATTGCATCGTTTGCAAAGCAACGGGTGACGTAATCTGGACTTTTTAGGAACTCCAAAGTCGATTACGTCAATGAACCTCTGCAGGTATTCAGACGTCGATTACGTCACCCTCGGTACACCTGCTTGCCACGAAAGGTATTCTACAGGTATTTTGTAATCGTATGACACCGGAAATTGAAATTTGCTTTGACTCCAAATGAGAAGTAGATAAATGTCCTGTTCTTGTAGGGAGAGTGTCAGTTCCTGGGCTTCGCCTTTGAAATAATGGTGCCTTGTTCGTAATGTCTCTGGATCCTCCATCGAATCATACCTACTCTCGTGTGTGTACTTACCCATTTGTGCCTGCAGAAAGGAGCATTGGCTCCTGGAATCCCTCCTTTCTAGCTTCTGGTTCTCTATGGCAATGACTCCTTGCCTGTTCAATAATGATATCTACTTTTGCAATTGTGAGTGGAGTTCGCATCTAAAATCTGTTCCTTTTGTTCATTACATTTTTTCAATACTCTTACGGTAAAATTAAACTTTCTAATTCCCCTATGACTCATTTCAGTCTCAAGCTTTCATCCATATCCTCTTGTAATATTGTATTCATTTTTAGCATGTCCTCTCATATCACACTGGAAATCTCCCTTAAAAGTATTTTATGTTTATATCATATCTCCTCTCCAGGTCTAGTTCATTCAGTCTTTCTTCTTACCCGGGACGAGCCTTGTTGCAAACTTCTGAAACATTTGTAGTTGTCTTATGGTTTTTTGTTTAGATAAGGGCTCTACGATGGGCCAGCATACTATACAAAAAGTCCCACGTACAAGTAGAGTACATGATTTTAATTATTTTTATTTAGATTCCTGGAAAAGGTGCTGACTTTTGCCAGCGCCGAGTATAACTGCTAAGTAGCCCGTCCTCTGAAGCGTTCACATCTTATCGTATTTATATATATATGCCTTTGGAGTTAGACTTGGCATTATATCACTCCCAAGTCCTTATCTATAGTCATTACAGGGAGATAGTCTCCTTAATTGTGAACCCACACACCTCCTACACCGCTTTTCGTCTCCTGGCACCTGTTTTCTTCTTCATCATCTCACATTTGTATGTGTTTAACTCTAATAGCCATTTTTCTAGCCAATTCGACTGCTATACAGGCTCAATGTTTACAAAGTCGTATTTTTTGGTAATGGATTGATCGATTACGTAAAAAATGCGACTTATTAGATGAAAGGGCTGGACGCGGTCATGTCTTTGTCACGTGACATGACGACAAAACAAAACATCAGTTAATTATCAGGTAAGATTTGTCGTCTATACAACGACGCGACTCGGGCAGGCACGACGACTCCCTCCATACAACTCACACGTTATTGCACAACTGGAGTGAATTGTCGGTCGTTGAGGTTATCAAAAAAGAGGTTTTCCAGTCAAGGTTAACGAGTAGAATTATCTGGTTTTTTCATCGCGATGATGTGGGTGAGACTCTTCACCGTATTTCCTCGCTCTTCTAAGAAACAACAGCACCATCGGGGTCTTTTGGCGACAGGTGTGATGAGCCTACAGGCTCTGTTTACATATAGAGTTACTACTGGTTCTAGAAAAGATATCGTTGATAGGAATTGATCACAGCTTTCATTAGTTACCCCCAAGAGGAACTTGTTCCCAGAAAGGCGGTTCCACCACCAGTACCGTCTCACGGAAGCTGGAAATCACCGGAAATGTCTGAAAATCGTCAGTTAGTGATCTGACCGCTAAGAAGAAAATTTAATTCATGGATATCTATCTCCTCCGAGTCACGAAAGAACTCACTGTACGCAGACATTATTCTTCTTCCCCTGGCTTTAGTGTTACCCTTTACTGG